CACAACATAAACAGTCTTCCCAGTATCCTGGAAAACCTACAACCAGGAGAAGATAACATAGATGAATGGGATCTTCTAAGACTCAAATCCCTATGGACACTAATTTTTTAATGAATTTTTTCTTTTGTTGCACATTTTCTTCCCCCTCTTTCCCCATTATACCCAGCAATGCACCCTTTGTTCCAGATTGTTGCCATACATATAATGCCTAATTGTATATTCTTTACAAACAGTTTTCCCCCTCATCTGTTCTACTGTTCTCTTTCCCCATTTTCTGTCCACGCCACCCCATCTGTCTTATTTTATAACATTGGCATTATACAGTATTTGCCCTTTTGTGACTGAGATACTTCATTCAGCATAATTTCCTCCAGGTTCCCCAATGTTGTGTAATGATTTATGAGTTAGTTGTTTTTCAGTGTTGCATAATATTCCATTGTGTGATATTATCTCACCCCAGCAACAAAAGCAAAGTTCAACAGAACAACAAACAATAAATGCTGAAGGAAATTATAGAGGAATCAAACTCTTATTTCCTGTTGGTGGGAGTGTAAAATGGTACAGCCAGCATGGAAGGCCGTCTGGCACTTTCTTAAAAAGTTGGAAATAAACATACCATCTGACCTAACAATTCCACTACTGGAAACAGACCCTAAAGAAACCAGAACTACAACTCAAACAGATTTATGCACACTCATGTTTGTTACTGTGTTATTCACAATAACAAAGAAATGGAAGCAACCCAAATGCCCAACAACAAATGAATGGGTAAAAAATAAACACACTAATTTTAATCAGAAGCATGAAGAGTAAGGGTTGCCATGGTCAAATTTGCTCTAGCTCTCCAGTACACACACACACATAGAGTATGTATGTACATGTGAAGAGCCAGCAATAGTTTTAGGTGAAGGTAAGAACAACCAAATTCCTTCCCTACAGAAATCAGCTGTGTTTCACAGTACCAGCATCCTGCACTTCCCCTGGTAATACTAGCCAAAAATCAGCACTTCTCTTTAACTACAGAAGAGTTCAGTACCTTAGTGCAAACATCTTTTCAAATTTGCAACTCTCAGAATATGACTTGAACTGGTATCATCTCTGTCTCTGATTCCTGAAAATCTAAAAGTTCCACCTGGATAAGGCTCCATGGACTCAGCATCTCAAAATATTTGAGACAATATCTAGTCATCAGGTAATGACAATATAATCAATACAATAGTTAGTCCTCATTTTAGCTGTACTATTTGTTTCCTCCTCTGGCATCATAATGGTAGGGAGCTGTGTTGCCAACTCAAAGGCACACGGTTCAAATCTACCAACCGCTCAGTGGGAGAATGATGACAATCCCTTCCAGCACAATTTATAGTCTCTGAAAGCCTACTAGAAGGTCAGTTCTGCATTGACTCCAACTCAACAGTACATAGCAAGAACAAGTATTTCCGAGTACTTTGAGGTCAGAAATATCCTAGAAAAGTAAATATATTAAGGCAAATGCATGGAAAATCAAGCTTGTCACACTTGCCTTGGAACATTAGGACAGTGTAACTTTCATGGTGGATGCTAGTTGGAATATTGGGCTAAGGTGTGGGCACCAGAGTTCTACTTCTGGCTCTTCTTGTTAGCTACTGTTGAGCCACGTCAGAACAAAACACTCCCCACCTTACACAGCCTCACAACTATTGTTACGCCTGAGTTCTTTGTTGCAACCACTGTGTATTTTGCATGCCTCCCAAGTTGGGGGCTCGCCTTCTAACACTGTATCAGACTGTTCTGTTATGAGTTGAGCAGTTTTATTGACTTATTTTCAGAAATATATTGCCAGGGCTTTCTTCTACGCGTGCTGAGTCTTGAAGCTCTGCTGAAACCTGTCTGCCGAAGGTGGCACCTCTGATATTTAAAGAGCTGGTGGCATAACTTCCAGCATTGAAGCAACACCCAAGCCAATACAATACCACAAATGACAGATGAGTGGTGGACTTCTACCCAACCCTTACTAGTTCTGAAATAGTCAGCAAGACACTCAGACACAGCAAGACCTTTCTGATCCCTGTCAAATGGGAAAAATAATACT